ATTTATAAATCTATAACTTAAAACCCCTATAGAAATTTAAACATTTTAAAAACAAAATATCAATACATTCATGTCGAAGGAAAATACAACATTTAAAATGTGGGTAGAAAATTTTAAGATACATTTTCAATAAACGGCAAAATCTGCTTAATTATTATGATTTAAAATTTTAAAACAATTAGAGCATTATTCATATTCAAACTGACAGTTCTTGTTTATTTTGCCCTGCCCCTCAATTTTTATTTTGACCTAGTGTATGTATTTTTATGATCTTTCATGACTCACTTTTTTTTCAAAAAAAGGGTTTCAAAATGCACAGGACAACTGCATGTATCACTTTGCTCTGATTTAAAGAATTGTTTTGTTATATCTTTCAGCATGTGAAAATCTGAAGCCATCATGATTCAATATTTCAAACCTAGTTTGGTCACTCTGCAGAATTCACAATGACATCTTTCAGCAAGATTTCCAATTTGCTTTGCTACCATTGGACAAGAAAAAGGACGGATATAGACAGCTCATACAGAAAATTGCTGGTTTATACACAACTGTAACGCAACAGTTTTTTATACAGGGTTTTGTATAGTAAACGCTAGTTGAGGCTTTAATATAAATTACAGAAAAAAAACTGATTTGAAGACTGTAAAGCATTTAGGTACCGCTGGAATTTGAAGTACTGTATGTGCATCAGTAAGGCTTAAGACGAACAATATTATGTGAAGGGGTATGCAAGTCATCGAGACCATAGGGATTAATATCCCTACCATAGTTGCATAGTTGATGTTTTTAATTAAAGAAATGAAGCCATTATTATTTTTCCATCCAGTAGCCACTCCAGCTCGAAATCAAATGCATCAATCATTCAATACTGCTTGTGCATGCAAACAATATTGTGGCAGTGGAGCCAATGGATGTCAACAACCAGCTAACCCATCAATAACAATTTACTAAGCAACCATTGCTTGCATTAACAAACAGTATATACTGTACTGTATTTGCAAAAATAAGAAATTTATATGAATATGTTATAAATCATTATCTATAGCTTTCTTATAAGAATAACAACTAAAGCATTCACAGAGGATTCCTGCAAGACACCTATACGATTCCTTTAGGAAATCTATATCAACATGTCTTTCTATATAGACTATTTCTATACACATTGTAAAACCTGTCTCTTATACACATCATATAGGATTCTTATACGATATCTATAGGGACCCTGTATTATTCATATAAGACTTCTATAAGATTCCTTTAGGAAATCTATAGGACTTCTTTAAGATATCTTTAGAATTACTAAAAGAGTTCTATAGAATTCTTATAAGAAGCCTATATGATCCCAGAAAGAAATCTGTAAAATTCCTATAAAATATCTATAAGATTTCCTAAAAATATCTACAGGATTCCTATATAATTCATATAAGACTCCTATAAGATTTCTATAAGGTATTTATAACCTTCCTATATCATTCATATAAGACTCCTATAAGATTCCAATAAGATATCTATAAGATTCCTATAGATTTCATATAAGAAACCCATAGGATTCCTATAAGATACCTATATAATTCATATAAGATTCCTATAAGGTTCCTTTCTATAAGATTCCTTTAGGCATTCTATAGGATTCCTATAGGATAACTATAAGATTCCTATTTGTTTCATTTAAAAATCTTGCAGTTTTCCTATAAGATTTCATTAAGAATCTTATAGGAAACATATTAAAATTCCTATAGGATACTTATACGACTCCTATATGATTCCTATAGGATTCCTAAAGGATATCTATCGAAATAATCCTATAGGATCCTATAGATGTGACGAAAAATCTATAAGATTCCTATATAATTTTCTCTTATAGGATCCTAAAGGACATTTTTGTAAGGGTACGCGTAAGAATATACTTAAAAATATGAGTCATTAAATACTCCCTGAACACTATGATATATGAGAGTTAACACCTCTTGTATTTAGTCTTACAAATGTTTGTACATCTTTTATCAGTTATCAGATTAATGAAAAAGACTTACGAGCACACTTAAATGACATCATTACAAAGCTGCAATTTCACCTAGCAGTGAGTTGATAAAGATCTCTGTTAGAGAACGAAACGTCCTAGATAAGTACTCCGTCTCTTTCTTTCTTAAAAAAAAAATCCTCTTCTTCGACAGGTATACCTTCAGGATAGTAATGCTTTAATGCTTTTTCGCTTCTTATTATGGTAGGACACGACGGAGCCATTGCAAATTTAAGTAGATACTTCAGAGCTGCATAACAAAGTTCAGTGTCTTATGCTTTATCACTCTTTCGCGATCTCTCTAAAGGATCCTCCCATATTTCGATAGGACGCCCGGTTTGGGTTGTTCCGAAGTCTCATGTGGATTTTCTGCTGGTGTGAAAGGAATACCTTCCTCTGTCCTGTGTCAAAACATTAATAACCTAATCCGAAAATGTAATGCTGTTGTCAAGCCACGAGTTATTTTTTTAGAAACCCAGCAAACACAAAGTGTCACAAAATAGCGTTCACACAACATTGTAAGAATGTGCAAATGTTATGACGTCGTGAAATTATGTTCATTACTTGTTTATGGTTCTACAAAATTAGCCAACTGTTACGTTATTGTTACGTTCTTATAACGTAATATTGTTTGCTGGGAAGGTCGTTACTTGTCACGTACTTGAAGCTCATCTCTCCTTAAGTTGAAACAAGAAGCTTTTCGGTGTCTTGGATATCTCTGAATAAAGTTCAAACAATTGACGCCTAGATAATAATTTGTAAATATCATCTTCATCATACGATTTGGATTATTAAACTGCATAAAATTTATTAAAGTTATTCTACACAACAACAAAATATTTGCAGATTTGCAACTGTTAAATCACGAGCATCCAATGCAGTTTGTCAATTTTTTGAGAATGTTTTCTCCACGCGTTGCATGAACTTGTTGAGTACATCCCCATTGATTGCGGTTTACTCTAATTAAATTGCGTCTCAATTGTACGGAAAACAAGATTAATAAAAGTGCGTCTAGCTCGCAAAGTAACAGAAAGTGCAGCAGTAAATTTGGTACCTTCATAAACCTAAGACTATACTGAAGATGGTGATGTAAAAAGCATGAATCTAAACTTCCAAATAGATTTTAAAATATTTTTTTCAGTGGTTTAAACAACGATTTATTATTGATGCTAAAAAATATTTTGTTCTCCAATTATATACATGAAACGTGTATATTTTAAAATAATTCGGAATTTTCTGTAAGAAAAAAAAAGTGTATAGCATTTAAAATAGTTATAGAGAAATTTCCGACTTTTTTTTGAAAAATACCAGCCTTAAAATTCGTTTAATTGTAAAATATGTTCAGTATAGATTCACCAGGGTATACCCTTCTTCAATCATGTGAATAAAAATGTGTAAAAGCTATAGTCACCAAAAATGGTAACACCCTAAAGCAACTCTCACACTATCACGACCTACATGCACTGCGATCAGTATACGACCGACACTGACCAGTGTGAGAGCTGCTATGAGTAACTTGCTCGTGTAGAAGAGAGGGTCGTCGATGGTCGCGGAGTTTTCAACATGTTGAATAAAATATAGTGGTCGGTACTGGTCGCCAGGTCCTACTTCCGGTCAGATACGACCGTAGGTTGGTACGGTCGCATTGTTAGGTCGCGATAATGTGAGACAGGCTTAAATCCAATCTAAGATAAGATAAAGCAGTGCGTAGAACACGAAGAACGTCTGAACACAACTACGCACTGTTAATTTAAAGGAGTCAATTTAACTCCAAAAGTGGAGTTAATAAAAAAGGTACAGAACGACTCCTTTTCTGGAGTAATATTTACTCTTGTATTTTTACTCCCCAAAGGGAGTAATATTAACTCCAAAAAGGGGATGGGAATCACCCTCTTTTTGTACTTATTTTTAAATTTAACTCAATTTTTGGGGTTAAATTGACTCCTTGGAAATAATTTCAATAGACCACAAATCAATAAAGACCACACAAAAATCATTCCTTTATTTTTTTTCACAAAATACATTATTCTCTTATCTTTACACGTATAAACCATGCCTATAATGGCAGATTAGCGAGAGAATTACCCCTTAAA